TCAACAATTTTGCTTGTCTATGTGGTTGTTATGGCAACACACTCGTCCCCAGTCCCTTCTCTTCCAATTTCTATATGATCCATTTTCAACGAAATAAATAGCAATTTCTGCAATTTTTGCTTATTACTATAATACGTGTAGGTATTGTGATCAGTTTAAACCGTTATATTATGTAAACATCCTCTTGCAAGAGGTCCACGGGAGGAAAGTTGTGAAAGGAAGAGAAGAGACTGGGGACTAGTGTGTTGCCATGACAACCACATGACCTACCAAAAATATTCATATGAGTGCACCCACTAAGTGTACCAAGTTTCATTGAATTTTATTAAATACTCACCAAGATATCATACTTTCTTGTTATTGCCATTATCTCAACTCATACTTGTGACATCACAACTCAAAATATAGAAAGTGTGATAACTTGAGAACGAGATGAGATATGACGAAACTGTAAACGTCATTCTTCATCACTCCAGCAGTACTTTTTAGAAAAACAATAAAAAATGAGCTGAAAAATTCGTTGCATAGGCACTTTAATAGAGACCTCAAGATTGACGTTTACGGCAAACGTCAAACCGCTAGCGAGGTTTTTGATTTTACAACTCTATTATAATAGCTTTTACACCAGTTTTGAAATATGTTAAACTTATTAAACTTGTGCTCTTTAGCAATGATTTAAGAAAGCAAATTAACCACTAGTCATGCCATTCACTAAAGCAGTAAATTGAGATTTGGCGTTTGAAGTTGACGTTTGGCGTATAAATTTTATGCTTGAACTGCTACGAGGGCTTGTAGTCGTTAAAGCATGAAATTTATACGCCAAACGTCAACTTCAAACGCCAAATCTTAATTTACTGCTTTGGTGAATGGCATGACTAGTGGTTAATTTGTTTTCTTAAATCATTGCTAAAGAGCCCAAGTTTAATAAGTTTAACATATTTCAAAACTGGTGTAAAAGCTATTATAATAGAGTTGTAAAATCAAAAACTTCGCTAGCGGTTTGACGTTTGCCGTAAACGTCAATCTTAAGGTCTCTAATATAGAATATCACCCGTGAATGACCTTGCAGAACCTAAGTTCCAAATAAAAGTGCCAACTGATAATTCGTTCATAAACTCGCGAAATAAGTACGTAATATTTCTTCATATTATTTCTGAGCAAATTTCCAACTCAATACTAAATAGTTTGAATCTATCTCGAGTTTCGAAAATATTTAATTTGCTTCGCAAAGCACTGCATGTAAACAGCATAATTTTGAGACCGACTGCACTTAGTTTGAGACCAGAGGTTTGAGACCGACTGGATCATTTCTCTGGGGGGGGGGGTGAACCACCCCCATACACCCCCACATTTACGCCCCTGGGTATCCAAACCGCAATGACGCAAAAAAAAGTGGCGAAACAAAAAATATCCCCCGGCAGAGTGCCGCGCAAAACCAGAGAGTGAAGGATCAATTGCTGAGGGCAAGCTGTGTTTTGCCGATAAATTTCTAAAGTAAAAGGCCGCTGGTTGTAATTATGTTTAAAATGCGTTGTGCAACGACTATTTATTGCGGGGTGCCCCGTGCAGGCTTTAAGGGGAAACTAGAGTCCAGTTAATCTAGTTATTTATTTATTATGCTTTGCCAATTTCACACAATCATATCTGCACAAATACAAACACAAGAATATACAAACCATCAATCAATCAATGGCAGGGTATATGCTACAGCTTTGTGCCAATTACAGCAGCCCTTACAGAACGAACATGACACATTCTACATTAGATCTTTAGTAATATAAAAAGGCCAGTTTGCACCCAGGAAAACCCTCCGCAGGATAGTAACGGAAGGAAAGTATAGTGCTAAAGTCGTTAGTTTCAATGCCGTGCACTCCTGCGGAAAATTTTATTGAGTGGAAATAGACAACTTGCATGTTAGACAAATTCTTGATCTAGCCGATCTAGGCAAAAAAAAAGTAAATTCCCGTTAAGAACTTATTAAAATTAGTAAACTTGCAAAATTTGGTTGCGAAATGTTGTAAAACTTGGAAAATATAGCTTTGCAAAGTTTGCATATTTTCAGTATATTTGTATTACGTGCGGAAATTGTCACCATTTTCGGCTTAAAAATGGTAACAATTTCCGCTCGTAATACAAATATACTGAAAATATGCAAACTTTGCAAGGCTATATTTTCCAAGCTTTACAACATTTCGCAACCAAATTTTGCACTTTTACTAATTTCAATATGTTCATTTTAGCTGTGGTGTCTGATTCCCTTTTCTCTGCTTAGGTTAAAATTTTGTCTAACATGCAAGTTGTCCATTAGCCGACAATGAAGCTTAACAAGACCAACACAGGGACACACATTAGAATTAATAACAACACGAATTTGAACAAGACAAATTACGGGACTTGTTACAAGACAAACATATAGACTTCCATGATCTAGGATTTTCTGCGTCGTAAATGTTCAGAGCCGATTTGTAATATTCATAGAGATCGTTTTTGAAACGACCTAAGCTTATGTTCTTTGTTGTCAACTCTTTTGGCAGAACATTCCATACTCTCGCACACCTGGATATAAACGATCTCTGGAATGTTGCAGTCCTACACTTCAGTGTGGTGAACATCAAACAGTCGGGGTCAGCTGATCGCGTTGCTCTCTGCTGGATCTGAATTGATGGCAGAATGTTGCCATTGATGTTTATTATCCCATTTACACATTTAAAGTAAAACAAAAGATCGAGGAATTCGTGCCAATAGCAGAGCGGAATGAGGTCTAATAGTTCGAGTCTCTTACTATAGCTGACATCGCAGTTGAATGGTAGATCCAAAATAAACTTGCTCGCGCGCCTCTGGATTCTTTCCACGACGAACCAAGATAGTTTTTATGTCCAGTGTAGATCTCCTTACGTAGCCGAGCATTTTGGTTGTTTGAGCACATTGGACCAAGTCAGATTGGAAGAAGTCCACACTCCCAGATCACGTTCGTGAACAGCGCTTTCCAGAACAGCATCATGTAGCTTGTAGGGATATTCTGTTTTGTGGTGTTTTCTGGTTATTCTCATGACTTTACATTTTTGAGTGTTTAATATCAGGTTTGCCTTGCTGGAATTCTCTTTAAAATTTGTTGCGTCGGACACGTTATTTACAGTTTTAAAGATCTTTGTATCGTCCGCAAAGGTTGCAATGCTGGAGTTGCCCACGCTTTCGGAGAGGTGGTTTTCGTGCAAGAGAAACAGTAAAGGACCGAGAATAGAGCCCTGCGGCACACCGGATGTCACTGCTAACGGTCTTGATGTTGTTCCACCAATTGTTGTCTGCTGATAACGATTGCTGAGGTACGATGAAAACCAGTTGAGAAGGTTACCTCGAAACCCGAACTTGTGTAATCGGTGCATGAGCTGAGCGTGACTTACTTTATCAAATGCCTTCGACATGTCAAGGTAAATCACGTCTATCTGCTTACCGTTGTCTAATTTCCGACCTATCTGTTCGAATACTTCGATCAGTTGCGTTACGCATGACTTTCGTGGAACAAAACCGTGTTGGCAAGGGTTGATTTGTTGAAAAACATGATGTTGGATGTTATGGAAAACGCAACGCTCGAGGACTTTGGAGATAAGGGAAAGCAACGAGATTGGACGGTAGTTCTCGACATAGGATTTCTCACCCCGTTTGTGTACTGGTAGGACATTCGCTAATTTCCAATCATCTGGAAGAACACCACAACGTAAAGATTTGTTGAAGAGAGCGCAGAGTGAAGGAGCGGTTTGGGATGATGTTTCCGTCAACAAACGTGCTGGGATTCCGTCTGGACCATGAGCTTTGTTGTTATTTAGATTAGTTAATACGGTTATTACTTCGTCGTTAGTCAGTTATATTTTATAGATCAAAGTTCTGGATCTGTTAATTTTGCCTTTCAGCTGGAGATAGCGTCCCAGCTCTATTTAGTTTAAATGAACTCTCTCAGTTGGCTATTATAGGCCCAGTGAACTCTAACCTCTACGTCATGTGCTTGAGATCGGCTATACATTACTGTGGTTCTGTGCAAACAGTTACAACTTTAAAAAGTCGCTCTTGACATTGTACAGTGTCTAGATTATCTGATATCGGAAGACACAGTGCCCCCAAAATGGGGGCCGATATTGGGCCTCTGAGAAAGGCTATGTTAAAATACAAATTACATATCTGCACTCCATGGCTTATTTTACACTCTGCAAGTAAGGCTACTTGTGATTTTGACTGCAAAGTTTGATAAAATGCCTATAGGCTCTGTAGGCAGCACTTCACTTGCGGTAGTAACTCCTAGTCTTATTATTATAGCATCCATACTTATTATTATTATCATAGCATCTCAAACTCATTAATAATTCATGAGCAAATTAGCGAATGAACTCACCCTAATTCGTCACATGATTGAGGTTGGATACCGCAAGGAAACACGCTAAAAATCATATACCATCAGTTGTTAGATGAAAAACGGTTTTCATCTAATAACTGAGATCCTAATTACAAATTCAAGTCAAAACACAACAATATACTATAATAATATATATAAGCCAATGAAATGTTTTCGTTTGAGATGTTGTGTAAACAACTCGTTTCTCGTGTTTCATCAGGGGACCAAACACTCGAAAACAATAAAACACTCGCGCTTCGCGCTCGTGTTTCATACAGTTTTCTCGTGTTTCATACAGTTTTCTCGTGTTTGGATCCCCTGATGAAACACTCAAACTCGTTGTTTACATATAACATCCGTACTTAAGTGACTTAAGTCTGTGAACCATTGTAACCTTTATGCTGACCTTCCTGGCTATATCAGTCCATCTGTTCTCACCGGAGATGAATTGCGCCCTGATCTTTTGATAACACTTGAAAACAAGTGTATTTATATACTTGAACTTGCCGTCGGATTTGAATCTAATCTCCTCACTAATGCAACTCGAAAAAGACAAAAATATCAAGATCTAATTAAGTCAATTAACGAACAGCTCAAAAATTATGAAAAAGTAAAATTTGTAAATTTATCGATTAGCTCATTAGGAGTTTTCAGCCACCCGTCGCCTAGATGTCACCGAAATGCTGAAGGATCTAAAGTTTGATGAACAATGTAGAAAGTACTATGTTCGGAAAATTATTAACATATGTATCAGGTCCTCGTATTATATATTCTGTAAGCGTAACAAAGAATGGGATAACCCACAACTAATGTCATACTAATATTGTTATTATGTAGAATGTTAATTCAGGTAGACACTGGTAAACTACCTGTGGGGTTACCATTGTAGTGTGTATATAAATATTATAGAAAGTAATAAAGTTTCCATTATTATTATTATTATTGTTAGAATCTAAAATACATGAAGAAGACAATATAGCCTTAATTGCCACGTATTTACATTAAAATTAGGGTAAATATATAAAATTTACATTGTTTGTATATTAACAGTATTACCTTAATTAACTAAGCTATAGATAATTTAAAATATTGAAGTTTATGTTTAAAATATCAAAGTTGGTAAAACGTCATGAAGCCTAAGGTCTCGCCAAGCTACTATTATTATAGCAGTTTATAGCGTGTACTAACGGACTATTCTTAAATCTTTGTGTTCTAAATTTAAAATTATAATACATATTCCCATTGGATGTAGTCTCTTTGTATTGTATCTCTAAAGCGGTCTGGAAGTAGGTCGTGTAGACGGTGCTCAGGCGAAGATAGATTTGCAATAAGTCTATACAATGATTCTCATGTCTTTCACTTGACGCTACAAAATATTCCACTCCAGGTAATATTATTCTGAATGCTCTTTTCTGTACTCTTTCAATGTGCCGTAACACATCTCCATATTCCAGAGTTGATCTAAAGTAATTATACTACAATAGAATTGTAGCAAATCCTGCGTTGGCGCCCCATATCTTTTGATCAATTTGAAAAAAGTACAACCGCTTCCTTGCTTTCTTTACGATGTACTCAGTGCTACTGTCCCATTTTAGATTGTCGTCAAGCCATGTTTCTAACAATTTAAAAGATGTGACCCTTTCAACTTCTGAGTCGTACATCTTCATACTTCTAATTGCAGTTTTCCTAACGCGAAAGTCAAAAATAATTATTTTGTTGTTTTTTTCACATTGAGTACTATTCTTTGTTCGCCACAAAAGGTTGATGTCCTTTGGATAGTTAAGTTCCATGTTCCCAATTGGTTGATCTGACCTATGACTGGTCACATTCAACACTTCCGACAGTGTGGTATCGAGTTATCGTATGCCTTTTGAGTTTTGGTGATGAATCGTGTTTGAAAACTAAATGAATTTTGCTGTCCACCACGATATTAGCTTTTGCTATTTGTGAACAGCAAGATTTTTATTGATTTTGTAAATTAGTTTGACATATTAAATTGATTGACTGACAACGTTGAAGAGCAGCACGGATCAAACTGATACCAGTCAAGTTTTATATTGCAGTGGCGTAACTTTGGGCTAGGGGGCTCCCGGCATAAACTTAACACACCGCCCCCCTTGGCCCCCGGATACCTAGGGCGCGAAGCCCCCGGAAGCTCTGGCTCCATCTAACTTTGTGCAGAGTTACTCCACGATGGACTGGGCATGTGCAGAAGCGGCAATTCAAAGCTGACACGTTACACACGTTACGCCTAATATATTAAAGGAAGACTTATTCTATCTACCTTTAGTAACGTGTCGGTTTTCATTAATATTCTATATAAACTCAAACGTGACTAGTGGAATCTACTCATATATATTTCTTTGAGAGAAACGTACAATGATGGCTGCATGAAAAAAGTTAAAACTGTTCATCCAAAAACACCAGTTCGCCAAAACAGCGTTGGCACGGATACAGGTCTTTCTGCTCCGCCTACGGGATCTTCCGGGTGAACTCAAAGACCCTCCACCTAACAGACCATATAATATCTGTTTCGCGTTCGTCAATCCGTGCGTTTCTGCTATAGCAGAAAATTGCGTTGCTTGAAGTTGCAAAAATTGGAACGTCGGTATCAATGCAAACGTCGCTAGAGTACTGGTTGTTCGGGGCAGCCAAGTGTACAATGTGTCCCATGAGAAGTAGCAGGAAGTCTTTCCAGGTGATGAGAGACGAGTTCCACCGAAAATCATTAAGATAGATTACCTCTCTTTCCAACGCTCCCACCCACGCATATTTGTCAGAGGCCGGATTGACAAAAGCTTTGAACAGGAGACAGAGGATCCAATAATCTCTTCAAAACGGTTGTTTACTCGCACCCAGTCCCCCATCCTGCGTTTTTGAGCCATTTTTTGGCAAGTTTTGCACGAAAACTAGATCACTGATTGCTTTTGCTCGAGAATGGGTTAGGGACCGGTTGTGACAAGCAGTATATTGGCCCTTTCCCTCCTGTAACAAGTGGTTCTTACCCCCATCCCCCTCGTGCAATGTTGTTAAAACGATTTTGAGGCAAGGGGTTATCTAATAATATGTTGTCGTAGTTAATAGAAATATAGGTTATAATAACTACACCAGTATACATACTACAATATTACGTATGTTTATTTTTGAAAACAACATTTCAATTCAATACAGTACAAGGTGTGCAGTAATTACTGTTCAATTCATACAGTTTCTGTACATTAACGTTAATTAACTGAAAATACAAAATTTTTACAATTCATTTTATTCTGTAAAGGTTTAGCGCCTTCACACATCAAATACAAAATAATTTGTGCTTCGCTCACACGGGATTGGATAAATTCGAAACTCGTACTCAGATTTGTAAGATTTGCGTTCACACACAACGAAATTAACAACTTTACGTAGCCTGGTTCTCGTTATCTCGTCAATGATCAGCGCTGCACTCATGCATCATTGTTAATGATCATATTATGAGAAAATATTTCGGGTAGAGAATGGACTTTATGCATCAATGATCCAAGACAACAGACATTTTCCGAATTTGATGGCTGGCAATAAATTTTTTTTACAATGGTTGCAATGTCCGCCTCGATTTCAAGCTGTTGCTCTGTGTGTGTGCAAAGCATCAGTCTATATGAAATTCATTACCAGCCAGTCTTTAGGCTACGACAACTTATATACAAATGAGGTTACACGAAATTGATTGGTTCTGTAACGATTCGCGGCTGAGAATAATTTATCCATTTTAAATCAGCTTTAAAAACTCGTCTTTTTAAATGTAGCAATGAACAGTAGATGTTACGATGTAAAATGAAAATTAACATTAAATCTCAAACTCATTAACAATTCATGAGTAAATTAGCCAACCATATTGCTTGATTTTGCTCACATGATAATACTGGATGCCTGATGAAGTATATTTATCCAGTCCTAGGACTGCGATAGTCCTAGGACTACGGCTGTCTCGGGTCCACAAAACACACTGTTTCACTCGGTCTCAGTAAATAAGTGATAAATATTAACATTAAATATTATTGTTGTATTATATAAACCGCACTGGAAATAATATGAAATAATAAAGTTTATAATTGTTATATAGTACTGGGAAAGCATTCCTCACTCCCCAGCGGCATACGAGAACCAGGCTTCAAATATCCCAGTCTCGTGTGAACGTAGTCTGAGTTCAAAAGTGCATTTGTGCATGTTGTGAAGAATGTTCGTTGACGCGAAAGTCGTGTATTAATACCTTCGCTCAAAATTGATTTCTACCGACTTTCGGTCACAACAAACGTCACAACAAACAGAAAATTTCGCCTTGCAAAAACGGCCCAAATTATACAGCGTGTCCCCAAAAAAGTCCCTTTTAGAAATCACTCTTGTGCGTTATTATACCTTTGGTAATTTAATTTAATTGTACATGAACGGCGCAAGTATTTACAACTTCCCTTTGTCCAAATAATTTAACACTTCGGTTACACATTGCGTTAACGTATCAATTGGTACGACAAATAGTCAAATACTGGTTGCTCTCTAGTCAGTTGAACCATTCTGAAGCCAGTTTTCCACTTCAATCGTTCGTACCGAAACGCATTTCTTTGAGCACTAGAGTAGAACTAATGACTTCGACACAAAAGAAAATGCTACGGTACGTTTCGTTACGATTGAAGTGGAAAACTGGCTTTACTCGAATTGACGGTTCAATTTGTAATTTGATATTTTTGTGTTGCTGTTCGTTTTAGAAGCTATTTTAAATTCCCAGGGGTCGGTTGTTCAAAGCCCTATTGGCGCTAACCCTGGGTTAAATTTTAACCTGCTGTTTTTGTTTATGTATTTCTCCATGATCATTCGTTTCAAAACTTTAGAAAATAAAACCTCTATTGAACGAGAAAAGATTTCTGGAAAAACATATTCAACTTGATTGATGAGCTGTTGGAAAATTTAATTTGTAAATTTGTGTGTTAACACAAATTTACTAGGGTTAGGCTAACCGGTTTTTGAACAACCGGCCCCAGAGGTCCAACAACGCACGTTTAACAACAAAAGAGTGATTTCTATAGGGTGAATCAGTATTTTTTGGGACACCCTGTACAACAATATTCACTAAATCATATTTACATTCATTCTACAAAATTATTGGCCTGTAACACGATGTATATATTTTTGTTTCAAGTACGTCTCTCAAAAGGGGTTCCGTGCCAACGAGGGGTTATATGTAGTTATAAAGTGGTTCATTCTATATAATATCCGTAACTCACTATCGAGGACATATAATGCATGGAATACCATGAAGCTCAACCCCCCAAAAAGATTTTAATAATTATAGATTTGACTTGAGAAAATATTCACCCCCCAAAATGAGTATATGTTTTCATAAAGTTGCATGCATACTCATTTCTTAAAATTGAGTTAATCCCCAAGGAATTCCAGTTTAATGGGTTCTTTGCAGTTTGCATAACATTTAACACAATAATGGCGTAATCAAGTCACGATCCAGTGCATGACAATGTTTCGTTGTCTTTTCATTGTTTTGAAAATCCACTGTCACACTTATTTTAGAATTTATATAAGGCCTAATTTATATACAGTGCCCTGAAGAATTCAAACAGAATAGTGCGGTCACCCTAGAGCATTTGCAGCTATCCTCGACAGGGGGTTGCGTTATTAAATGGAATATTCAATACCTTGACTTCAAATCAAAGATGACCAAACTACAACTTGTTTATTTCTATCACAGCTGACCAAAGCACTGCCATCTGGGTGCCAAGCACAGGTCACCACAGCTGCCCTGTAGGAAATACATATTACATATGAACAATATTACCATATCCCTCTTTTAATGCGGGAGGCTATGGTAATCTACTGTAGCTCCAGATCTTTGAGGTAAACATCCCAAAATTGAGCATTAAGTTGCTGGGGGGAAATGGGGATATATTGTAGTACATTTTGACACATTTAACTTGAGGCTTTTTCCACTAGGCGGAATTTTGCGCGCGAAGCGGAATTTTTCTTTTCTTGTGATTTCTTGGGTGGAACTAATTAGAAAAAACAAAATTCCGCTCCGCGTGCAAAATTCCGCCCAGTGCAAAACTGGCTTTACCGTATTTATTCGTTTAAGCGCCACGACACTCTTTAAATGTTTAGTGTTTCGAATGTGGCGCTTATTCGAGAGCGGCGCTCATTCCAACGCTCATTCAAGGGACAGCGCTCTTTCTAGAATATTTAATATGAACAATAGGATGTGATAATTAATAAAGTATACATTTGCACGGTAATCGCCCGCACCCCCACAAGTTTACACTTAGCCTATACTGTATGTGTGAATATGTATGAATACATAACGCGTCTCATGGAAAATCAAGGAAATTTTGCACCAGAATCATTAATTTTGGGAAATACCGTAGAAATAAATAGATTGTCTTGCGTTTTCGACACAGTTAAATCGAATACGTACCCATGACTCTTTAAGACTTTCTCCGTTTTCATTGTTGATGTATCCCAGATGAATATGCTGCCATCTTGAGAACCGCAAGCCACGTAAGTGCCGTCAGGACTGCAAGGAAGAGATATTTATAATTTCCTAGTCATTTCTTTTCCGAGTTCTTCAAAGACCGATTATAACGCTTAGAACAATTTGTGTTCTTTTGTATCTAGCTTACAAAATGGGATATCAATGTATCCTGAGAGGAACGCTGTTTGTTGTCAACCTTTCCAACACCCGCCCTTTAGAATTTTGCCGAGACGATCAAGCACTTCAGTTTGTGAGACGATCAAGATTTCATGACGATGGACATTTCGGTTTCCGAGATGATCAAGCATTTCAGTTTCAATTTTCTAATTTCCAACTTGCGTAATTAAGTATGCAGGTCAATACTGCAGTTTCTTTGTGTAGCCTCATTTACATTAAGTGGCGGTATGAATATCAGAGAAGTCTTGATTCAGTTTTAATGTCTATAGCTGGTGTTTAATCCTATCTGTCATAGGAGAGTTTGAGGGAACCATGTATGTATAAATCTTTATTAAAATATTAAAAGCAACACCTCACAACAAACGTGCGGGCTTACAATTTGCACTTACTTATCAATAATTATTATACTAATTTCTGAATTAGTATTGATATTATTCATTAATAGAGCTAAAATACCATTATTATAATGTTTAATGTTTATAGCTGCACTGGACCCCATTAGTATGTAAAGTGAAGTTACTAGGTGAATTAAAGCCTGCAGCACACGAGAGCTATGTGCTGAGCAAAAAGTTACTCGTGCCTGTTAGCTCAGCCGATAGCTCACCGTGTGCGCATACATTTTACTGAGTTTTTTGCCTCATGCAACCTTTTCTCACGTATCAAACATGTTTGATCGGTGAGCTATCAGCTGAGCTAACAGGCACGAGTAACTTTTGGCTCAGCAGATAGCTCTCGTGTGCTGCAGGCTTAAGTAGCACAGGGCCACAGGCCATGTTCAACTCAAAGGTCATCTGGCATCCCTATACGGGTCCTGCATCTAGTGTGGATTATAACAATTTCGCTTGGGTTTGATATCTCTAGGGAATCGGGTGGCGTACCTATTCGCAGGTTAAAACTCATAGAGATGCCAGTGGTCTGACAAATGTCCGATCAACTGTGCAGTTACTCGGATATTGCCTGATAATGATTGGCCAGCTCTTCAAGCTATCAACTTGCTCGTGCTGATCACTTCCCGGATCATACATGCAACTGAAAATGTCTTGGTTCCATGGATATTGTTTTGGAATTTTCTGCATGCCTGCTACTATAAACTTGTGATGTGATTTTGTTGCTTGTCACAGCGAAGCCAAGGAAATGTTTTGTGCTCCTTTTTCGCTTTCATGCTTTATGAACAACATTAATAAAATAATATACCTTTAATTTAAATGAAAACTGCCGATTTATTTGTTCGGTCGAAATGCCCGGCAGAATAGATTTATTATTTTCCGTTATATATCCGTTGCTTGCATTCAAGTTAAGTTTTAACTTACCTAAAACAAGCTCGTGTACAATCTGTTGCAATTTTAAGACCATCCGCACTAAAATAGAAATACAGAGTGTTGGAATTCGAAAGGGTTTTATTAACTTCCATTGCAGGGAACTCTATAGGGGTCAGCTGTGGTTTAGAAAAAATCTAGCTAACTTCTAACTCGGACAGTCAGCGCTAGAGATGCCTGCGGAGGAAGTTAGCGTTTTATATGTGATATTATATTGGAAAAGTGGTTATAAAAAGATTAACTAAATCAGAAAAACCAACCTCAGTGTGCCGGAAACTTGATTCATTCGGAGATTAATTAATTTTAAAGTATCCCCTCTGGTTGCTGCTAATAACGTATTGCGGTCTATAAACAAAGCAGAATTAAAACAACGTACCCATGCGTGTAAGTTGGCTAAAGTTGTTTGACTACAACTAGCCTGCGAACAAACTCTCAAGCTTGAGAGCCTGTTCGCAGGCTAGACTACAACTATAGTGAGAGGCAATATATATATATATATATATATATATATATATATATATATATATATATATATATATATATATATATATATATATATATATATATATATATACTAACTCTTCAATACGTCATGTGTTTGGCAGCTAATGTTTCATTTATCAGTAGAATCTTCTGTAAGACTGCAAGCATAAGAAAGTGCAAAGGTGGGTTTCACTAGTAAGTGAGGAAAGTGTGTCACATGGAAGTCAAGTGTAAAAGCCAACACTTCAATAACTGAAGAAATTGTTTAATAATGTATCGACCTTGTATTTGTTGGCAAAAACATGTAACGTGGGGTTTCGAGATCGTGGGTTGGATTCTCGCTACGGACTCATGTGCAAAGAGTCTGTTAACCTGCCGAAAGTCGTGGGTTTTCTCCGGGCGCTGCAGTTTCCTCCCACAGGGAAAGTTGACAGGGTTGGTTAGGGTATAAACACAGTAAAGATAGTAATTCACAATTATTGTTAAAGTGTAGGCTTTAAGTATAGGTAATATAAAGATAATATAAGTAAGCGTAATACTGGTCACTGAAAAGCCCGTATATATATATGTATGTATATGTATGAACGAAAACATTTAACATCATTTGCAACGAATTGAAACCCATCGAATAATTGTAAAAGATGTACACACCAGGAGAAATTGACAGTGATGTAACTCTTCCTTGTAATCCAATTTCTGTAGAACTCGTGTCTGACCTAAAAATCCAAGTAATATAAGACGCTGTTGTTGTTGTTGTCGTTGTCGTTGTTGCGTTTGTTGGTGAGGATTTTGTCCAGTAACATCCATGCATGGTATTTGGTTGATTTGTCAACTTTAGTCAGCTGCGGATGTTGTTGGCATTATTTGCAACCACGTGTAAGACTACCTTACTACCAAATATATAAACCATATTTGCTTTTTTGTGGGTTTTTTGTAGATGGAAATTTCGAGTGTAATTTTTATACACATATTTTGGACCTTAACCAGGAGCAGCTGCGAAAAATGCAACTATAGGCCCTGTGGCAGGAATCGAACCTGCGGCCCTGCAATTCCTGTGCAGTGCTCGAACCAACTGAGGCCAGTTGTCGAGCTCTAACCAACTGAGGCCAGTTGTCGAGCTCTAACCGCATGCAAGTTCATGTGTACATACTATAAGGATAAATATCAGGACTTGGGGGCATCTCACTCGATTGAACTAATGTTGAAGGGTTTTGTGGATGGAAATTTCGAGTGGAAATTTTATATATTTATTTTAGACCTGTAGCCATGAGTAGCTGCGAAAAATGCAACTATAAGTCCTCTGGCCGCAGGTTCGATATTTCACAACATTTCCACATTTGCTGTTGACTATACCACGTCAGTTCTTAGTAACACAACTAAAACCATGCTACCACCTGAACTGTATGTTACTATAGTTCAAATACTTACTGCAACTTTTAATAAATTTTCTTAAACGGTGGAACGAACATTACCTAGAGTCCCAAAATCGAATTCGTTTATCAAAATGACCACTAATAATTGTCGTTCTGGAAGAAGGAAAAGTGTATCAGGATTACAGTAAACTCTGTGGAAACTGCTGCTAATAGTTTATGCAATACATACGACTTGAAGTTGGCCCTAGTGACATGGCATGCACAGAAATGTGAATGATGGTGACAGAAACTTGTAACATCCCGCATACAGCCGCAAGAATGGGTCAACTATAATCCATATTATGGAAACTGATCACCAATTAAAATTGTATAAAGGCAATAATATGTCACATAATCTTGAACTGTCTGTACCAGTGTAGGTAGTGCTAATAATAACAAAACTTCGGTTGATAAGGATACAACTACCTGCAAAATACAAGGAGAAATTCGACATTTCAAGCGAAGGGAAACTATTATCACTAACTTGCCGACGAAGGGCGTTCGCTCGAAACGTCGAAGTTCTCCCTGTATTTTCAGGCAGTTGCATCCCTACCAACAAAAATTTTGTTAATAATAAGTCACGTACAGTAAATATTGAACATGGACGTCTCTTTGGCTCTTACCAATATTTGTGTACGTCATTTTATCTGTAAGCCCTTACACATAAAATGATGTACACAAATATTGGTAAGAGCCAAAGAGTGCTGCGATTTGTACTGCGATTTCCTTCTTCTGATGCATGTGAATGAGTAGATGAGTTATGAATATTCTGAGTATATGTACCCTCATCTGAACTTTCATCATTCTCGTAACCAGAGCTCCTCGTCGCACCGCGCGTAAGAAGGGCTCTGGGTACGAGAATGAACTTTCATAACTTATCTACTCGTTCACATACATCAGAAGACGAAAATCGCACCTAAAATTGCAAGTGTAAACCAGTGAGCTCTATATATACTGTATCTGCAGCGAGAACTTCAGTCATTCGGACCAAGATGGCGGCCATTGACGTCTAACAATTTTTTTGTAAACAATTTTTATACCATTTTCCCCAGTTAAATCCAGTTTTTTCTAACGGACCGTATCGCTTCATAAAATAATAATATTGGTCTTTAAATCGAAATCGAAATACGAAATATCGGCACACTTCTTGCCAAGATGGCGGAAATTAAAGAGTTACAGCATGTCAGTTTTTGTCTGCGCGGTTAACACGAAGCTGGCTTCATTTTTTGGACTCGAGTTCTCGCTCCAGATATATATGGAGGTCACTGGCGTAAACAGGCTTTTTTAAAATACAAAGAGACAAAGAGACGATTATAAACGGGGAATATGGAACAATAGAATGAACAAATTAAAACAATCCATTTCTTTGTCATGCTATACTTCACTTACGAAGCTAAGCTTGTTGTTACTAAGTCGTTGCAACTTGAGCCTGCAAATATTGTTCGGTTACCTAAAAAAAACACACAGTTTGTATACACTTCACTAAAAGAATTTCTATCAGGTTAAAAGAATATTAAAGAATGTCATGAAACTTGAGGCTGAACTAGTTCGTGGCATCAACGGACAAAGAAGTGGTAGGAAATGGCAGTGGGATGATTGCCCTCAACATTTAAGGTAAAGAGTCGACCAGGAGAAGTACAAGGTGAGTATCACATACTCATTCGCTCATGAAGAGGTCCCCGTCATTTTTTGGCGACAACTACGACCGGAAATTGCATAGGAAAATGGTCATGTCGCTGAATGTTTATTGCATGACATTGTGGGCTCAGTCAAGAATTTTCCCGCTTTTTTGTTTTTGGCTTTTTCATGGCGAAATAACTAGCTGAAATTGTAAGTTTAAATAGTTCTCAATTATGCTTGAGTCACCTAATATTTTTCTTGGCCTTTAACCTTTTCTTTACCTCGACATTCTACCAATAAATCAAAAACTTTGCCGACTATATCTTGAAATACTTTAGTAGTTTTCCTCGTTAATATTCCGTACACGTCAGCATATACATTCTATGCATGTTCAGTTAAGCATCTTAGCTCTCAAGTTGTGGCCGCAATTTCTGATCGTGAATGTGACCAAAAAAAGGCGCGAAAAAGGACTCTCCCTAATAGTATACTATCACTGTGTATTACACATCTTAATAGTATTATTATATACTGTAGCTTGGGTAGGTTACCTAACGACGTCCATGTTGATGCAACCACAACAAAAGGAATTCATTATCATTAGCCAAATTTGCCTTTAAAGTGGCCGCCGTTTTACAAAACTCAAGGGATTTATTGCAACCAATAAAGTGTATGAAAAACATACCATTTGGTCAGACAGGGTGTACAGACCATCATATATACATGGCTATCATGTTAAGTCATTTATGGGCTTACAGCCCCAATACCTCCCAAAATGCGCTCGAGCATAACATTCTATTTCCTTACAAGCTTTTGTCCTGAGGTCCCAAACTTTCAATGTTCTGTCATGACTCCCAGAAACAACTTTCGTTGAATCAAGAAAAAACTTGGCGCTCGAAACTTTGTTTGTATGACCAGTTAATGTGTGCTGAAAAGAAACATTTAATGTCATATATTACAATATGTTTGTCGTTCTTGACTTGTATAGACTAATTTATATATAAAAACCCTACACCAATCCTGCAACTATTTGGGTGCAGGAATCAAAATAACCGAATGCATCATATGCACAGTGGCGGACGCTAGGGGGGCCGGGAGCACCCCCCCCCCCCCTTCCAATAATCTCAGAAAACCTCTAAATTATAGCTGAATAACTGTGTAAAGGCCATGTTACACGGTGCAATTTTTTCTTGCAACTTGCAATGCAATTCTACTCTTGAGAGATGTTAATTAGTGAAATCAGTGAAGAATTTTCGATATGTTGAGAAAATATCAGCGGAGTGTAATGAATACTCGTATTTGGCAATTTTACATCTCTCAAGAGTAGAATTGCATTGCAAGTTGCAAGAAAAATTGCACCGTGTAACATGGCCTTAACAAAGCTGTAACAATAACTTTTCAACGAAAGCATCCGTAGGTTATAACGTCAGCCATATTTTGTATGAAATTGAAAGCAAAAAAACTTTAAAGATTTCCAGGAACAAAAGGTGGCTATATATACGTTGGCAACCTAAATTTGCACCCCGGCCTAAAAACGAAATTTCCGCCGCTGCATATGTATTGATTGAAATAAACAAGTACTGTATTACCATATTAATAAGCTTTCGTTGGTAGGGATGCAACTACCTGAATAATATAAGGAGAATTTCGATGTTTCGAGCGAAGGCTATTCGTCTGACGTCGAAATTCTCCTTATATTTTCAGGTAGCTGCATCCCTACCAACGGAAGCTTGTTTATATTATTGGCACTACCTACACTGGCACAGACAGTTCAAGACTGTATTACCATAGATATTCACGCGTGGGGAAGCTGTCAGATTGGCGAACTCCCTGTTGGGGAAGGTATCTGAAATGAGCCGTTCCTATGTCTCGAACTTAATCCCGCGGTCAATCTGCATGCCCCTTAAAACTGCCAACCACAGAATACTAAGGCACAAGAGCCGAGAAACTAGGCAACTAATACCAACAATTGTCCGAGGAACTAGGCTATATTAATACCAACAATAAATTGTCCGAGAAACTAGCATCATTGTAAATGACAAAATGATACTTTACAATAAATGTAATTTCATACACCCAGAGGCACTTCGCATAAAATTTTCCCTAATAAAACGGTGAATTTTGGCTTCATTTTCAAACCCAATATGCTGATAATGTTGTAAAATACTGAAATTTGCAAGAACATTGCGCAATTTTTGTATCCAAGGTTCACGCGTAAAATTTCACAGCTTGTCAACAAGACGTATTCGCACTGGTTGTTCCCAGTTGTTGACAAGTCTGGAACAAGTTGTTTTCATCTCGTAACAAGGTTGATGAGGCCATCAAACTCGCAACAAGTTGTTCCAACATGTCTGATATCGTCTGCATGTGATAAGTTTTTAACAAGTTGATAACAACAAGCTCGTAGCAACTTGTTACGAACTGCCTGCATTAGTCTTCTAATAGTAACAAGTAGAGGTGTGCAAATCCGATCCGAAACCGATCCGAATCCGATCGGATTCGTTCGGATTTCGGAACCAAAATATTCATTTCGGATCGGATTGATAAAGTTGTTTCGTAGTCGGATCGGATCGGACTTCGATGACGATATCCGAAATAAAATTAATGAATTATCCACGCATTGTCGCAAGAATTAATTATCCATGCATTTATCAAAGCATCATCGCGGTTGTCGCTGCATTATTCGTTTGATACGTCAATTGGACGTCACTTTGTCAGCTTCTTGACATGTATTTCTTGCTTTTATATTTATTTGGTTAAATATTTCAACTTGAATGAGAAATTTACTTTATTAAAAAATTCTTCGGATCGGATCGGAATTCTTTTTCAATACTCGGATCGGATTCGGATTAGACAATTTCGGATCGGATTTTAAACATTAGGCAATTGTCGGATTATAAACGTCCAATCCGATCCGATGCACACCTCTAGTAGCAAGCCTGAGAGAAAAACTAGTTTTACAGAGTACTGTACAACAAAAAATACGTTGTTCCGAGCGAGATCCCATCTTTGGGTTCCCAGACCGCCCCTCTACCCATTGAGCTATCGAGTCAACGGGAATTGGTAGCGAGTCTTGAATTAAGTAAATTATATAAGAGCACTATCACACCTGTCATGGATTATGCAGACGTGCTGTGAGATGGTTGTACGAATAGTGAAACTGAACGTCTTGAATCTGTCCAATATGAATGTGTACGAGTGGTCACTGGTGCAATGAAGCAAACAAGTTGTTCTAGGCGATTTACATACTCGTCGTGCCGTCCATAAACTTACTTTGTTTTTTAAAGTAATTAGAAATATCATTCCAAAATACTTAAGTAACTTATATCTTTAAATACGCTGGAAGTGCTGACTTCCAGACTGCACCCTTCAACGGGTAGTTATAACTATCCGTTGAAGGCTGCAGTCTGGCAGCCGAAAGCTTGTGAAAAATAAACATTTCCAACCAGAAAACGTCTCAAAAAATATCTGTTCGGATAAAAAATGGATTTCAATGCCTTTTTGAGAACAGGTACTGTATTGAAGAACAAACACTGTCATCAAGTTGGATTAAAGTGCATATGACATGAAATTTCTTATGAAATTTCTCTTGCAACCAACATGACGTCATAAATTAGCGGACATATTCACACTCATTTACATATCAAACAAATTGAAATATCTCGGGAACAAACCATAAAAACAAGAAACTGAAATATAAGTTACACTACAGCTTAAAGAGTTCTTTCATTTAAGAAAATAATAAATTTCATGTCATATGCACTTTAAGAGGAGATTTTTTTGTATGTTACGTAACACGCGCTCAAAACTAATGCGTATAATATACCACTTGAGGTCATGACTAAATTCAAATTTTTATTTTGCGATACGTTTCTCAATCGACAAACAAACTTAAAAAGTATGTTTAGTGCTTTATCTGTAAAATAATGCTAAATGAAGAGATTTTAGATGATACGCCAAAGAGAACTAAACGATGTCTGAAGTTCAGTAAATTTTGCTTATATTGGCTTAGCCTGCATGGCAGGCGGTACATAGGAAATACCGCCTGCCGCAAAACTGGGTGTAAATGAACTACCGCCCCTGAAGCATCAAAGCTATTTATAGATGCATTAATTAAGTAAATATTCAAAATTAGCCACTCCCAAGCTGCTCCCAAGTCCCAACTGCCCAACATAAAATAAATTCCTTGATTCTCATCACCGCCCGACTGAATTTTAAAATCCTCGTGAAAACGTTTTATTTTTCGTTATACAATATAAATGTACCGCCCGGCAAAATAATTCAAGACAGTTAATTTTTTCATATTTTATATAGAGTTTTTATTGCCATTTTAAACTTCCAATTTGAAACAAACAGAATTTTGAGTGAAATTTCATTGTATTTTAAAGAAACCCAGTCATTCTGTCATTGTTCGTGGAGATACGAACTATTGATATATAAATTATATAAATTATATAAATATAAAAAATAAATCTCCCACTGTCTTCGACATTTCAAAGTGTAGACTGTGTCTAGTGATGAGAATCAAGGAATTTATTTTATGTGTTAATATAAACCAAGCCCGTTTAGCTGCCTTAAAACGGTGGTTTAATAAGCTCAAAATACAAAGCATGCAAGTCTATACTATAGATTCATCATCAGTCAACAACCAAACTGAAAGTATTGAACCTTATAGACCTTATAGAACGGTAGTTTTTATTTGTTTACAACTATACATATTCAACGGGTATATAAGAGTTTAACTGTTATTTGATAATTACTGCATCAACCGGCCCCTTGTTTATACTTTGGAGGTTCGTATATAATATCTATCAAGTATCTTTGGTTCAGAACATGACTGATAGGCCTATATGGAAATCCCACTGTTCGATTCAGTGAAGAAATATCTCCTAATTTCTATCGATAGTTTTAGTAAAATGTCAACATTATTGCGATTTATGGCCTTTGAAAGTCAAGCGAGATAGTATATTGTCAAATTAATACGCATGTAATTGTCTGAACGAAAATATAGACTAGCCCATACCTTTCGCCGATCATAACTTCGGCCCCTTCGGACGTATCTTCTTTGTTAAATATTCTTGTTCGAATCTCTATCAATAACACTATTTAGAGTGTTATTTTTCAGCTTGTATCTTTTAATTTGCTTCTTTTATTATGTTATTCCATTTCTGGTCTGACTTGACGTGAACTAATTTCAAAACGCAGAGTTTCAAAACGTCAAAACATTTGGTTAATGATTAACATTTAACCGAATTTAGCCGTTGATTGACAACTACATAAAAATACTAACCAATCCGTTTTTCCCGTTCACCAGCGGACGGGTAATTCAAAAACCCTAGTTTTGCGGCAGACGGTATTTCCTTTGCTTCCCTAATTTTCGCTGCCCGTAGAAATACCGCCTGCCATGCAGGCTACTT